ATCTGACTTAGAGTACCTAGTTTAGATTTAGTTTTGTTTAGTCTGAACTAGCTTAGTGAACTTCTCATATTTTTTAAATAATGTAGTCCTTTAACTAATAATGTATAACAATGAGTTAATTGCTTTATGAAAGTTTGTAAAATATTTAGGTATTTCTCAATATCTCAATAAAAACATACCCTTGTAACATGATTGTGGGTTAAAAAATATATATATATATATATTAAATAAATTATCTTTAATAAAATTTATGCTACTTTAAAATTTAAAATCAAATTGAAATAAAAAAATTTTTCAAAAACTTTAAAATCAAATATTTATTAAAAAAAAAAAAATAATAAATAAATTTTAAAGATTTAAAATTTATATAATATATTTTTGTTTCAAGAATAAATTTTCAATATTATACTATTGATTTTTCTTCTTTTTAAAATTTTTTATCATAAATAAAAATTATTTAAAATTAAATTTTTATATAAATAAAAATAGAAATAAAAATTTTTAAAGAAAATAATAAAACTTTATTAATATAGAAATAAAAAATTTCTTGAAAACATCTTTTTTGTTTATTGTATATTATCAAAAAAGAGTTTTTTAAAATTTTTAAATTAGTCATGATTAAAATTATTTATTTATAATTCTATTTATTAATTTAAATAAACTTTTGATAAAGCTTGTTATTAATTCCTAAATTAATATAATTAATCATCAATCACGTGGAAAGTCCTTTGGGTGATGATTTCATAATTATAATGTTCGTGTAACCGCTTCGATCTTTCCACTTTCACCCATTTTCCCAAGTTTACGAAGGCCACAATAAAAGGGAGAGTGCAAATTGATGTCCTCGAATATGTCCTCGAATCATTCTTCCCTATTCACCAAAGATACAGGCACACGTATGTCATCAAATTCAAACTCTCCAACGGACATTAGTATAACAGCTGGTTCCAGCCCGGTCGAGGGGATTTTGACTCAGTATCGTGTACAGGAACGAAGAGCTCGCTCTTACTTTACTGCAGCAGAAATTAGCCATAGTCAAGGGATTCGCGGTTTTATATCCCCCAAAGAGAACAAGTCACGTGCACACTGGTGTTCTTTTATTGTCGCAGTGGGGAATAAATTGGGATTGTAAATTATCATTATTACCTTACCTTTCGCTTTAATAAAGCTATTTCATATGTTAATCTTTGAATCGTTCCTTGAGTTATTCATAAATACATTTCGATTTACGTGATACATTGCCAATGTTCTACATTTCATTTCATCCAATAGTCCACAAAATACAATAACCACGGCCCAGATACTTTTTAATCGGTTTTACTTGTTTCATCCCGAAAAAGATTTTTCGACGCCAAATCAAAAATCTGTAAATAAATTAAATTACTTTTGTTCTTTTTTTTTTTTTTGATCGGTTGTTATGAGCCGAATCATTGAATTCGGATTTCTGTTAAATCGTTTAAAAGTTTTTATCTAAAGTCTAGTAACAACGAAGCTCACACAACTTTCATTAAATTTGATCTATTCAAAACAAACCAGGATATAAGCGTGACATGTTTGTTTGTTGCAACAAAGATCGAGGAGACCTATAAAAAGCTTAAAGACATACTGATAGAGGCGTATAAAGTTCGACATCCAGAGATTTCTGATGTTAACGGTGATGCACAGGTAACGAAATACGTTCAATTTTTTTTCAATCATTCGTCAAATTTATTGAAATTGTCCGTCTAATCAAAGCATCGATATTCGATTCATCGCATTTAATTTGACGTTCTCAAAGCACATCGAGGATCAGAGACGCCGTGTAATCCAGCTCGAGCGACTGGTCGTAGAAACCATATGTTTCGATTTTCACATTTGGCCACCACATCAATTGTTGATGAAGTTTGTAAAGAAACTGAAAGGTGAGGTCACACATTCAATTGTCTTGACAAAATGGGAGGGTCGATATATTCATTTTACTTAATAAATCATTTGATTTCATATAGGAGATAGAACCTTGGCTATTAAAGCGTACAACACGTTAAATGAATGGTAGAAATTATGCGATGACGCGTAACTTTAATCTCGTTCGTTCGTGTTCGGAATGTCTCTAAATGTTTGCTATTTCAAAATGGTAGCTACAAGACCACGATTTGCCTAAGATTTCCGCCACACGCGATCGCATCCGCGTCGATATTTTTGGCGGCAAAGTTGTTGCACATGGAGAATTTTCCGGAGAACAAAGGAAGTCTACCCTGGTTCAGTGTTTTCTTGTGTAGAAAGGAGGACATCGAAGGTATTCAACCTAAAATATTTCTCGGTCGGGTTTAAAGTTATTGGTTGGATTTCTGTACATCCATCCATAGTCAGTGAATGAACCAAAATTATTATACTTGAATAATTCCACATTAACTTGAACAAATCTAATATCTAGATTAAAATAATAATAATAATAAATGATAAATATTCATAAACCATTTTTTTTCTTTTGTTTTTTTTTCGTCCCAATCGGTCGATCCTCTTTACACGCTATTCGTCATTCTACTGAATTCATAAGAACATAAGTCACACGCACAAATCCTAATAAAGCTTCACGATCTCTAAAAGAAAACATTCCGATTCCACAGGCCTTCTTTTAAATCACAATAAGGACTCCTCTACTAATAAGGGTCAAGTACCGATTAACATCCCATTCATTGAAGGAATTTCATTACTTGATCCCACTTGTCTCCTCGATTATCTTGTGTTGAGGCGACATGCTGCCGAACGTATATCGAATGGTGTAATTTTTCGGCTCCCCTTCGATCGGTTGCACGAGCGGACGGGTACCTTATTAGGTTAAAAACAAGAAAAACAAGAATCGTTAGTGATCACGAGTAGAACGACTGATCCGTATCAAACCAATTGTCACTATCAAACCTTCGGTTCCATTCGTAGACTTCGAATCGGGTAAGGAAGATGTCGAATTCAAAGAGATCTTCAAATTCACGTATTCGTTATACACTGGATCATCCTGATTCGCCGACATTTCAGAGATGAAGTAATCCAAGAGAAGTCGGCATATTTCTGAAAGATAACAGGAAAGGATGTACAGAAATCCAACCAATAACTTTAAACCCGACCGAGAAATATTTTAGGTTGAATACCTTC